CTGTTCCTACCCCTGGCTGTCTGCGTGTGTGTGTTAATTTGTCGCCCGCAGGGCTGCAAATGCCAGCGACTTAAGTGGTAAGCTAAGACTCTCCCTTCCCCTCCCCCTACCCTTCTCCTCCCCCTTATCACACGCCCATGCCCTGATTCTTGTTATTTATTTGCTGCGTCTGTTTGTCATTTGATGTGGGGAAGCTGCCCTCAGTACTCGCCCCTCTTCTAAACGCCACCTTTTTATGACTTTGGCTTGCAACATTTTTCAATCTGGCGGGGCTTACCTGCAACGGGGGGCCCTGCTGGGAACGATTATTGATCTCTAAGCATAGATTCGTTACATATTCGTGACTATTTTTGGATGCCTGACAACCCCCACAGCCCCAACTAAAAACACTTCCGCTGCATTGATATCACGTGCCATGCTGACAATCACCAAAGACACTGAAGTGTGGCCAGCTTTAAAAAATGAAAACAATCTTTAAGCTTTATGTCAATGAAATTTTTGCATTTTTTAAATTTCAATCGAAATTTTTGTTTATATTTGAAGGGCTTACAACTTGAAATATATTTATGAAAGACCTAAGACCTTACTAAAGGGAAAACTGTGTTGGGCCGCCGTCCGCTAATTTCTGTCCGCTGAAGATCCGCCCAATTTCTGTCCGCCTAATAGAGGGCTAATGTTCGGAGAGTTTCTGTTCTACATTTGAATATATAAATTTATATGGCAAATTTTGTGTGCGTAGCTCTTATAACCTTCGAGTTATGTTTAACAAGCCTTTTTTTTCGAAATCGATATTTATCGATATTATGGAAATGGGGAAAGATATCGTAACGCGATTATTTACTTTAAACTCCTCTGCTCTCTAGCGCTTGTAGTTTTCGAGGTTGACGCATTCCTGATTGAGAATATATAGCCTTATGTTGCTTAACCCATTGTAACCTTTTCTTAACCCCTTAAGAATGGAGCTAGCTCCATAAAGAGTTGTTTTTTATGCCTCTTATACCCACATACTGCTCATATTTATGCATTTTCAATGGAAAATTGGTTGCAAGTTTTGGGTTGCTTGCTGAGCTGTGCCTGTATATTTAAAAAGCTTGCCAAGCACTTGATATTTGTGAATTGAATAAATAGAAGGCAAAGCTCTAAATTCATACGTTTCGCTTCAGCTATATTTTATTTTTTCATGCACATCACCTGGTTTTTGGCTACGTGGCGATATAAATTGAAAGCGTTGAAGCTACCTATGGCCAGATAAAGAGGATCAGGCGCTGTCATGTGGCAGTCATGCCCTGCCCTGCCCCCCACCCCATCCCTGCCCATTGCAATGCCAGTCCGCGTTGCACAAAACATTTGGCGCCTGCGTTTGAGTGTGTGCCCAATCGCAACCCCATTAAAATGTCATGGAATTTCACTTAAAATTCCTTGCAATTTTCCCATTTGGCCAAACTGCTTTTTGTTTTGTCGCTGCAGCAGCAGTGCAGGAGGGGGGGAGGAGATTCAAAGTGGGGTAGGGACGGGAGTAGTCAGGACGTAGGTTAGCCTGTGCTGCATGTTAGCTGTTGAGGTAGATGTGGCAAAAACTTTGACTGGCATTGTATTGCCCCGACACATTTGCACTGCCATTGCACGTGGAAATGAAGTGCGTGCGGTTTTCGTTTAACGTTTTGCATTGCATTTTGGCGTCGGAATAGCTCAAGCTGCGAAAAATGCAAGCCTGTTAATATGCGTAAGGCTGCTGCTGTTGCTCCTGCTGCTGCTGTTGCTCCTGCTGCTGCTGTTGCTGCTGCTGCTGCTGTTGCTGTTGCTGCTGCTGCTTTTGCTATTGCTATCCTGCCAGCTGGGCGTCCTGCCATTTGGGTTGCATTTCCTCAACGCTGTCATTGATATCGCGCTGCGCTGGGCAATGCCGTGCGCGGCGTCTTCGTTTGCCTCGGTTTTTGTCGCCTGTTGTTAATTGTCATTGCGTCGCTTTAAGCCGCTCAGCAGTGGCAGCAGTGCTGACGGCAACAGTGCTTGTTCTTCTTGTTGCTATACCCTGCAGCCATCGAAAATGGCTAAATGGGCATAATGTTTGCCTGCAAGTGTATGTAACAGGCAGCAGCAAACAATTTCAATAAATTATATAGATTTTCTTTTAGCAGCTCAGCTCAGCTTCGTATGTCTCTGACCTGAGGCTTATTATGTGGTGTCACGGCTAATCAGGAGCTCACAGATCTTGCTCCGTTCTGGTTTTTGTTGACGGCGCTTCGGGGTGTTTCGGGGTGTTTGTGGCTAGAGCAATTGCTTGAAGTGGAGTTGCAACCGGGTGCCGTGATCCTTAGATCGGAAGAGTTCTCAGATAAGCCTCCCGCCAAAGCCAAGGTGGAAGATACAACCAAACAGTTGATAGTTACCTGTGCAATTTATTTTCCAAATGGGGCGCTGATTGACGTCTAAATGAACCCTTTAATAAGAAACATGAGATTAAGCTATCACTATTGCAGAAGCGCATGCGCAGCCCATTGACATTAATGTCTCTCCTATTAAAAAATTGATTAACATATACTCTCGTTTAATTCTATGCATTACCATTTTGTTATCCCTCACATATCCATAATATCAATAAATATCGATTTTAAGACTTGGTTGTTCAAAATTGATATGTGGCTTCTTCAATACTATGTACATTAGAAGAACATTTAATTTTTAGGACAAGACCCCCTCATTTTTTCTGATCTTGTTCTTTGGTATGTAATGTTTAGGCACTGCAAACTTCATAAAGAGTTATGCAAGAGCACATCGCTCATAAGTTGTGGCTAAGGACAGAAGCAGCACAGACGCAGCGCAGGTTCAAGTGATTGTACTGGCTGCTTGTCGGTGAGTGCAGGGTATCTGCTAGTCTGGTGCATTCGACCAGCTAACTGCCACTCACTGCTGTTGTTGCTGTGACAGTTGCTGTTGTTGTAACTGCTGTGTTGCTATTTTCACGCGCGGTTAGCGGCCGTAATTGCATTGCCAAGTAAACGGCGCACCGCATGTGAGCAGCGAGTGTATATGTGCGTGTGTGTGTGTCTGTTGTGTCTAGTATGCGCGTGTGTGCACTATGCGTTGGCGTAAGTGAAATTTATTTCAACAACCCCGCCAGGCAGTCAGCAAACTGTCGTTTTCGCCAACTTAGGCGCACCTTGTTCTTACCGTCTCAGCCTGTGGCCCGCCTGTACAGTGGGCCACGGGCTGCCGAAAATTGCAGTAGGGCTTGTCAGTGGCAGGCACTCAATTTAATTAGATGTACGTTACATTGTATACAGCTATCAAAAGCTGAAATTTATCCAAAAGGCGTTCAACTGCCTAAGGCAAAAAGCTGGCTGTCTGCCACCGACCAACATTTGGGAAAGTAATTTCGCTCTGCTCAGAATATCACTTGACATTTGCGATTGCTTTTTTGATTGAATTCGAAGAGTTAATTGTGAACTGCAGCGCTAAGACAGCGATAGGGTTTTCTCCCTTACATTCATTAAATTTAAGTGAATCATAACTTATTCACATGGAAGTGACTTAATTGAGTAACAGTCGCTCGGATAAAGCCCACTAACCAAAGCCTAATGAGTTTCTCACTGTTTCAGTTCATAGTTTATAAACTTGAAAAAGTTATCAATGTTAACTTGAACAATTTAAGAAAGTTATAAAAATAAGATAGATAGATCAGCTGTCCCAGCCTTTTCACCTAAACAAGATTAGGGCTCGAACCCCGAATGGCATGAAAAACAAAGCTCTATAAAAAAAAAAATATTAAAGAGGTTAGGTTAACTAACCTATGTTATATATAGATATATAATATACTATACCATATAATACAATATCAATAGTATAGTACTATATTGAATCTAATATAACTTAAATCATAATTTTTATAATATGCAAAACGTTAATTATAATTGTTATAATTTTCTTTGGCTGCGGTGGCAAATGGCTCGCTCCCATTTAAAATTTCCTTTATCAGGCGCATCTCCGCTTCGAAAAGGCTTTCGTATTGTGATCCCTATTTCGCGCTGTTCGCTTTCATCTTTTGGCTGTGTTCAGATAGCAATGATTATGCCATCTCAACACAGATATTAATATTAATAATAACAATAATAATAATTATACAAATAATATGACAAAACTGTGCTAATGTACACTTCAATTAGGCGAACATCCCTTTCAGGCGGGCACTTTCTTTAGGCCATATTCATTCCTTTTCTATTAGTTGGAGACTCTCCTTTTGACCGGAGACACATTAGTCGACATACGATGTCCGCTCAAGAGAGTTTTCACTGTATAAAAGTCTTTGACATATTCTCTGCTGTCTTAAGTGTGACCGAAGTTTTGTAAGCTTACTATAGCTTACTATTGTCTTCTTCGTTTTATTTTTGTTTCTCAATTGTTTATCAAGTTAAATTGAGCATTTCAATATTTTTTCCATTCACCATTCACCTGGCATTTTTCTTAAATTTTGTTGCAAATTGCCAAGGGAGTGTATTTTACAGCACGATCTTCTAGGGTCTGGCTTGTGGGGAAGTAAAGCAAAAAGTGGAGATTTTTGTCGCTAACTGGGTATACTCCAATGGGCTATGCCCAGTTTTCATTTTCATCTGTGAATATTGAATGAAAAAGCGGCACTTGAACTCATGATTGCTGAACCGAGTTGGGTTAAGGGCTATGCCGAGCGGTCTGATCGGCGGCTGTTGATCTTGAGCAAACAATGCGAGTAGATTAGGTACTTGACACGCTTAGAAAGCAAACGGCTCAGTTTTGGAAATTTGGCTGCAGGGCGTGTGCGGCTTTCTAATGCGTAAACCAAAATCTAGCAATGATATTGAGTATTTGCAATAATTCAGCATAGAATCATTGCGAAGAAAGCGTGAACTTTTCAGTGGAGCCCGCGCAAAGCCGCAGCTGATATGCTTTTTGCATATCATTGACGGCTATAAAAGCCAACGAGTCGCTGGACCAGGCCAACAGTCATCGGCAGCAGCAGGCACACAATGATTCGAGCTGTTTACCTTTGGACTCTGCTGGCACTGCTGTCGGCCCAGACGCTGCTTTCTTGGGGCGCTGCGGACCAGTCCCGGCTGGCCGGACTCTATGTCAAGGATGGCAACGAGAATGGGCAGCTGCGTTTTCTGGCCTCCGGCCTGAACAGCAATACTAACGGTGTCAGCGGCAGCAACGGCCTAAACGCGGCACTCAATAGCTACATAACCAACAAGCAGGACATGCTCGAACAGTTGCGTCCAACCAGCACAAATGCTGGCTCCGGCTTGGGTGTGACAGGCACGGGCACGGGCACCGGGACTGGCCTGGGCCTGGGCACTTTAACAGGCACTTTAACAGGCACGGGTACAGGCACGGGTACAGGCACCAGCAATACCGCTGCCAACAATGCCATCTATGTGAGTCTGGGCAATGGCAATGCATCGCCCACGGGCAGCAACACCCAAGCAGCCCTCAATCAGGCGATCTATGGCTCCACGCCCGTCAACAATTTGCTGCCACAGATCGTTGGCCAGGCGATCGCACAGCGCACCCGTCCCGCCGACAACAGCAATCGGCGACGCGTCGTTCAGCAACGGCGACGACGCGTCAACAAAAAGACAAACGGCAGACGCCGCCGTCGCAAGGGCAACAAGAACGGCAAGAAGCGGCCCCAGGTGGTGGTTGTGCGACCCAATCGCGGCTGAGCAGCGACCAATCAGACAGTCGACCAGTCGGCCAGTCGGCAGCCAGCCCTGCCACAAACTTCCTTTATTTAACACCACATTTTTTTAACACAATTTTTTTTTTTATTATAAAGTTAAATTATTTATTTATTCAATGAATTTCGTTACTCAATTAAACTATGCAGGAAAACAATTCATAAATAGTTTTAAATTGAACAGGTTAGCGCCGTAACGGTTTGGCCGCCTAAAGACAAGGCGAATCCAAATCTTAAAGCTGATCAATTTGTTTCAATTGTAAAGTTCGAACCAAGATCTGGGTTCAAAGCTGTGAACAACTGCTTCATGAATCGAAGCAGTGGTTCAAACCGTTAATCAAACCAATATATTTTTACCCTATTGCAGGCATTACATAAGTCGGAACATAATGTAGCTTCCATAGAAAAGATCGGTAGAAAAGACGGTTTATGTTTGGCAAAGTATTCTGTTTTCCAAGATCAATTTTATCAAACTCAGCATTTACCAGCTTCACTATTCATATGTATCTGCATAAGGCAAATGTCTACAAGGGTATTAGATCTTCGGCGTGAGAAGATAACTTTTTTGCGTTTCTTCTTTTTGATTAATTTTTCTGTTGTTATAATTTTATTTGAATAGGTGGAATGTCGATCATATATGACAATATATTTTGAATTATGTTTACACAAAGTCCAAAAAGTCAAAAAAAAAAATGGTTAAAAATCAATTTTTATTTGCATACTTCAAAGTATTATTTAAACATTTTTAATGTGCTACGATAAAAAATATTATTTAGTATTTAAAAAAATTAAAATCTAACAAAAATGTGAACATGGCTTAAAGCAAAACCAGGCTCACGAACCGAAGCCATGAGCTAGGCTTCGGTTCGCGCCGTGAACCGAACTTTAACAATTGTGTTTTTTAGTGCTGCAATTGTACAAATAAATTCTGTACTAAATTTCCAAGCTGCCACTTTAATGGCCAGGACACCTTGTGGGGCACGTGCCGCTGCCGCTGTCGGCGCCGGCGCCGCTGCCGGGGCAAGTTCCTGCTGCAGTTGCCTGTTGATTTAGTTGCCTTGGCTGGGTCTGGCCTGGTCAAGTGCAAGACAAACGGCCGCTCCATGTGGCGGCCAATGACTTGATAAATGCACGAGAAGCGGTCGCCATTGCTGGTGTCCAGTTTGGGTGTGTGTATGTGCGTGTGTGCGGGTGTGTGTGCGCCTCGTGCTGCTCATGACTGTAATGAGCCTGTAAGTGGCCCTAATCAGTGTCATAATAATAGAAATTAATCACTGACTGCGCCACAGCGTCGTTGGCCACCTGCTGCAGCTAGGCACAGTTGGAGGCAGTGGCTCAAGGCGCAAGGGGCAAGGCGCAAGGCGCAAGGCTCGAGGCGACAGGCTAAAGGCTCAAGGCTCAAGGCTATTCGTTGGCATGCAAGTTCAGGGTGGGCAGGCGCTGGTTTGGTTTGGCTTTGAAGATTCCTGCGGTTTTGTGCAGCTTGCTGCGCATACTTTGTAAATGTTTTGTAATGATTTGATTTGAAATTCATTTGAATTATTGCTTGCTTCCGGCTTCCGGTGCCTTCGAAATACTTTCCTGTTTCAGTTAAGTTGAGCCAAAGCCACAGCACCACAGGCGGTCGCACAGTTGTATGCTATGGAAAGGCCACTCTAAAGGCCACTGTGACTTGCATTGCCATCGCACCGCGCCGCCCCCCCTCCTTGACATCGTCTCCATATGATGTACCAGCAACTTAGTTGGCCTGTTCCCTAGCCACACTCACACACATACACACACTCGAACACACGCATACATATGTGGCTCTAAGTCTGTCCGTCTGCTCGTCATTTTCACTCGCTTCCCTCTCTCTCTCTGTCTATCTCTCTCTCTCCCACTCTCTGGCTGTGTCCCGGGAGTTTATTAAGTACTGCCAAGTATATGCAAGCAGTCCGAACAGCGTCGACGTCGCTGCCTGTGCGGAACTTTGTTAATATGCAAGTGAATGGACATTTCCGGTAGCTAGTGAACGTGCCAGGCCCAGGCTCTGAGACCGGAGACCGGGCATTGGGCGAGACCCACACCCAGGGCATAGCCAAGCCCACTTCTGAACCTTGCCCAGCTGAAGGGCATAAGCTTGGCTCCTGTATGGCGCACACACAGAGAGTTGTGTGTTTGTACAGAGAGTAACACGTGAACTCATTGGATACATTTTGTTGCCCTTTTCAAATGTCAGTCTTTTGCGATTTGCGCTTAGCTAGGTTTTGTTAATAAATTGCTATTATTATTATTATTATTACGGTTATTATTGTAATTATTTTCATTTTTATTATATCCTTTTTATTTTTTTTATAATTAATATAATAAATATTCTTACTAATCTTATACTTATTATTATTATTAATATTGTTTATCATTTCAATATGCAATAGAATTGAAGACTAATTCTTATGAGGTTCACTTGGGCAAAGATCAAGATATTTCAGATATGTTTTATGTATAGTTCGTCTGAGAGAATTATCGATCATGAAAAATTAAGAGTTCTACTAAAACAACTGAGACAGAAATAAACCTCTACTGCTTCAACTATGCTGACAAGTGCCAAAAGAAATTTGTGGAGTCTTGGTTTGGAATCGAACCAGGGCCTATAGATGCTGCAAGCCAGATTTACGAACTGAACCTATTGACGAGCCACTGGTTCAAGCTGTGAACCGAACCAGCGAAAACGTTTGTAGAGCTTGCAGTCAGGCAAAAAAAAACCAAGAGATAGTGCATTTGTGATTCGTTATGCGCTTGCCTTTGCTCGGCCATTTGTTACGTTTTTTCCTTTTATTTTGACTCCGCTCATGTGTAATTTTTTTCAATTAAAATGATTTGAGCAGACAACTTTGAACGCCGGCCCGCTCGAGGCTTTTGGCCACAGAAATACTTTTGGCAAAATTATAAATCATGCAGCAGGCACCAGCCACCAGGCAGCGGTCGGGGGCAGCGGCAGAGGCAGAAGCAGAGGCAGGGGCATTGGGTCAGCAGACATGAATCGCATTGGAAATCGACGTCAGTTGCTGGCACCAAAAAGCGTTGACAGTGCGCAGGAGGAAGGCGGCGGCGGTTCGGAGCGGGTTGGCCAAGTTTCGTTTTACTTTTGAAATAGTTGCAAAGTGGAAAAGTTTGAGCCGCATGCCGCATCATCAGCTGCCACAGTCTTCGCATCACCCACACACACAGAAGCACACACAGAGCCCACAACTAATGGCAGTTAATGCTCGCATTTGGCATGCAGAGTGCCTCAGCCAGAGTGTTGGAGCCGTTGCCACAACCAGATGCCTCTCGGCCTGTGCCTTTGCCTCTGCCTGTGTCGGGTCCTGTCTGTGGTCAGCGTGCGGTCAGCAGCCATAATTGTAGTTAAGGTTAATAAATGGCCGCCTTTGTCATTTATCAGGCACAAGCACAAAAAATTTACTCGGCCAACATTGCGAAACGCTCAATTGACGTGGCACAAAATTCAAGCGTTGGTTATTTATTTTATTTAATTTGTTGTTGTTATTTTTTTGTATTTTTATTGAATTTCAGCCTGGATTTGCGCTTGGCCAACGCTGATTTTAATTGCCGTGACGTGTTTGATTTTCTTGTTAAGCTTCTACTTCTACTTCTACTTCTACTTCTACTACCCTGGCCGGAATGGGCATATTGCTCTTATTGGCATTTTTGTAACTGGTGTTTTATTTGTTTTAAGCCAAATTAAATACTTAACTATTTTCTTTTTTCACGTATCAAGTGTTTTATATTCTATCAAGAAACATATATACTTTTTTTTAGAATGTATCTTGATTTTTTAGTTCAACTATTCTCTCTACAAAATTTGATTATATAATATGTAATAGTATAGAATGAATCGTGCGAAATTTATGTTCTTATACCTTCTAAGAGGGTATTATGATTTTGTCGTGATATGTTTAACGGATAGATTAAGACATCTCCGACCCCATAAGGTACATATAGTAAATTATAGATGAGCATCAGCAGACGAGTTGATATATACCCATGTTTGTCTGTCCGTCCGTCCGTCCGTCTGTTTCTATGAACTAGAATCTCACTTAAAACATTAACCATACAATATATGTTGTATGGTAGGTGGTTAAAGCTATCGTCTTGAAACTTTTCCGTATGTCCGTCTTTCTGTTGCAGGCAGTACATACATATGTCGGAGGCAGCAACTATATCAAAGTTGTCATAGGAATAATGGGTCGAAAAGTAGGTTTATGTATGGCAAAGTAGTCTGCTTTCCGCGGTATTTTATCAAACTTTCGAGCTTCACTATTCTCACATATCTGCAAAAGGCAATTGTCTACAAGGGCATTTAATCTTCGGCGTGAAGAAGATATCCTATTGTTTATTGCTTGCAGTTACATACATAATATTATAGACTAAATATATTTTACCAAATTGTTGGCTATCTGTCAGGGTATTACGCATTCGTGCAGAGCTTAGAACTGTTTGCTTAGCTGTTGTTTTTCTTTTGGTCACTTGACGTTTGATTTACTTAGTCGTCGCTCGTCCGCTTCACAGGCCAATTGGAAGCCAATTTTCAGCTTTGCGGCCTCCGCAGCAAGTGCGACCTTCTCGTGAATGCTTTTTAGCACACTTGTCGTCTCGATTCAACTCGAGTCGAGTGGAGTGGAGTGGAGTGAATGATTGTTGCCGTTGTTGTTGTTATTGTTGTACTTACTGTGGCTGCTGTCGTCTCCCCGTGGCGTCCATTCAATTTTTGCCATTTGGCTTGTTGGTTTTCGGCTGCGACTCTAGCTTGACACATTCTTGCTGATTGATTGATAAATGACTTTTAAAGTTAATTACTAAAATCAAGATACGTACGTTCATATATGTACAATATTTCAGGCATATATACATATACATATATATGTATACAAGTATATATCTTCACATACATATATAGAGCACACACAGCATGGCCATACCACAGTTGCCTTCGAGGCACGTTCACTC